GCATGGAGTACAGTGGAGATCTGTGGGACCTCAGCGGCAGGGCAGAGCCTGGGCTGGAAGCCCGAGCACACCCTGTGCCCTGTGTCTGGTCTTATCCCTTAGGCTGGCCCTTTGAAAAGCTCGGTTACTGTTTTCCAAAGTGAACTGCTGGGGATTCTCCCTAAGACACATCTCCCCAAAAGCCTGTGAACTGCTACCACTAGGATGGGAAACAGTCAGGGAGTGTTAATCACGAATCCAGCTCCGGATTTGCACCGGGCATAATGGAGATGAGAATCCTTCCCTCTGTCATTGTGAAGGTGCTGCAGACTCTGCCGGCATTTCGCATGTTCCCGTAGAGATAGGAGCAAATTTAAATTGGCAGCTGAGTATCATAAGCTTGACACTTGGATTTAATTAACTTCCCATCTATCTGGATACCCACAGTGGCTGAAATGGCCCCAAGCCTGGGCTATAAGAAAGCAGGAAATTGAGGTCAAGGCCCAGCAGCAGTACTCAGGGTTCAGCGTGGAGAAACGCACTTACACCCAGACGAAAACAAGTCTGCTCTGTGCCCATTCCTGGGTCACCTTTTCCCTCTGCCCACATCAGTGAAGGAAACCCCGGAGAGTCCTTGGTAAAATGGAGCTCGCAGAGGGCAGCGTGGAGTGTTTGGCAGCCGTCTGAGAAAGGGAAAGTGTAGGATGGTGCGCAGGAGATCTTGCCGGGAGTTTTACCAAGGTGAGTGAAACACCTGCAGGGTGTCTTGGAGCGCGCTGTTTCGTACACGGCCTTGCTCCAAGAGGCTTACAGCAGAGGGGTTTTTGTTAATACTTCCAAGCATCCAGAGCAAATACCAAGCACTGGGGTTTTTGGATTTATGCAGGAAGACTTTTGAGCTGGTACAAAGTCTGTCATGAGTCCGGGAGTCTATTGGCCTGAATTCAGTTGCAAAAATGTTGAGAGGAAACGAAATGTTGAGAGGAAACAGGCCGAGCTGAAGCAGTTCCTTGTAAAGCAGCTACATTTACTTCCTTGCATAATGACTGAGGTGGATTTAATTAGAAAACGTCTCTGTTTTCAGCTGAATGATGCTCTTTGTTTACTGTTTGAGCCATTTGGGAAAATGGAAATAGGTTAGCCAGTGTTGCTGAGAAGCAGCTTTTATTCCCTCGCAGGAGTTGGGCGCAGAGCGCTGTGGGCTGCTGCTGCTGTCAGGATCCAGCCAAGATGATCCAGCAACTGAATCCTTAAAAAGATGGAAATGAGTGTTCAGTGCCATCTTTGGAGGGGGCGACCTCTGAGAAAAATCTGATGCTCCGCTAATTGCTTTTCTCATTCCGTCCGTCCCCTGCTGTGGGAATTGCGGGGAGAATTTGGGAGCCAGTGCGGGATCGGGCTGTAGGAAGGCTGTAGGAGCTTTCTGCCCTCGTTGGGGAAGGAGCTGCTGCAATTACTGCTGTCGGGGTGATGAAAGGAGAAGTTTGAAATATGATTTCAAAGGCTGGCTGCTGCTGGGCTTCCGCAGGCAGAATTCCCAAGGAGATCTGTGGAGACTGGTGTGGGACCGCTGCAGAATCTCATTTGTTTCCCCGCGCGCAGCAGAGATTCTGCAGAGATGGAGTGCAGGGCCAGCAGCCGAAGCCGGGAGCTTTCCTGCTGCCTGGAACTTGGGGAGACTGTGGCGTGAGATGCCGAGGGGGCATTTTTCAGTATTTAAGAGCCACAGCAGAGCCCACGGGTGGGCCAGACGCGGGGGGAAAGAGCATTCCCTCTGGATCCCGGCAGCCCCAGCACAGTGCAGCAGAGCTGGCTGCAGGACTCTGGGATGATCTAGTACAGGGAGGGGGAAGTGATGGCTTGGTGTTCATTAAGCAGCACTTGGGATCGGTTTCTTGGGCTGGAGTAGGAGAGTTTCGGACATCAGCCCTACGGAGCCGAGCTTCGCCTCCAGAGCAGGAGCCAGCTCCGCGTGTGCGGGGAAGCGGTTAGCCTAGCTGCCTCGGGATGGCTGGCCCAGCAGCGCCACCTCCCAACGAGGTATTTCACCTGAAGGACAAGGAGAGGACCTTAAAATGGAGAGATTTCCAGTTCCTTTGAGCCTCGGAACTCCCACCTTCAGGGTGAAAGTCCGCACGCCGACACCCGTTCCGTGCGCTGCAGCTGGATGCGGGTGGGCAAGGCTACGTCTTAACTGGCGGTGGTTGGAGATTGGGTCTGGAGGTTTCCAGGGGCTGGATTTGGAAGCGGCGGTTCTCAGGAGGGCAGGAAGCAGGGGAGTTTGGCGCAGTTGCTCCTGAGACGCCAGGATGGATGGCGGGCAGGAGGGCTTGGCAGAGCTGCCTCAGCTCGGCACACTCGGCTCTGAGGGATTGCCTGTTGCTGCTCTTCTTCCCGCCGATTCTGAGGAATCCTTAGGGAGACTGATTGATTCTGACCCTGGTTTATTTATAAAATCTTTATTTCTTGTGCTGGTCTCCGTTCCATTTTTTAAATGCATTTGGTTGTCAAGGTGTCAAAAACTGGAGGATTGCTTTCGGAGCTTATCTCCCAGCCCATCCATCTCTGGCATTTATCAGGTACCTTTATATCACTCGGGAGAGAACTCGGCTCCTTCAGGGGACCTGTTGCACCTCCAGCAAGGACAGCCGATGGGCTTAGTCCCAAACCCCGGCTGCCCTGCCAGGGTCCAGGCCCAGCACAGCTGAGGAACCGAATTCTGGCCTGATGCTCCTCGATACTCCTCGCAGAGTCCCAGACGACACCTCCATGTGCGACAAGCCCTCTCCTCTCTGGGAGAAGAGCTGGGCGTCTCCAGGTTGCTTTCGGTGGCCGTGGGGTTGGGGGTTCTCTCCTCCTGCCGTAAGGCTGTTGTGGTCTCTGGTAGTGCAGGTGCTGTGCTCGGTGAAGCAGGCACGTCCTGCGGCCGTGGGCTGGGGAGGACGAGGAGAGCTGTGCAGAACAGGAGGTGAGCTGTGCGAAATGTGTCCTTTAGTGCTTGTAATGCAGCTTCCTGCTTGCAGTGCAGGCGAGATCAGCTGCTTTTTATCTTTGAGGTGTTGCTGAGTTTCTTCCTTACCTGGTAGAGATGGGCACGGTGGAATTTCCTTCCTCTTGCGGGGCAGCTGGTGGAGGTTGCCCGTGGTCTGGGTCCTGAGGTGGAGGCTGTGGGGTGGTTCCTCCTGTTCGCATGTCGGATGGTTTCTGCGGCACCTTCCCTGGTGCAGGGGGTGGCGGGAGCCGTTGGCTCTCTGGGGTCTCTGCTCTGTGTGATCTGAACTCGGCACGCTCGGGGAAGGAGAATTCTTTCAGCGGAACCGGTTCCTTCGGGTGCCGGAGGTACGAGAGGGAGATCTGAGCCTGCTCTCCCATGCACATGCAGCAGGCGCTGCCATGCCAGTCTCTGATGGACAAGAATATATACTGATGGGTCTCACCTCTTTCTCTGTCTGCCAACCCTAAGTGATTTGAGTTCTTCTCCTTTGGAAGCAGGCGCTGTAAATCTTGGATCCTCTGTCCCCAGGGCAGGCGTGGCCGGGCGCCGAGGATCTGTCTGATGCTTCCCAGGCCGCGCTGATGCTGCTCTGCCGGAAGGGCGATGGGGAAAAGATATTTCTGTGACTACTGTGACAGGTCCTTTCAGGACAACCTTCACAACAGGAAGAAACACCTCAACGGAGTGCAACACCTCAGGGCCAAGAGAGTCTGGTACGACTTATTCCGAGGTGGGTGCTACCAGCTGCCTGCCGCTCCCTTTCTGGGACCGAGGAGGTGATGGATGAGCTGGGGGGGATAGATAAAATAAATCACCAGCAATGACTTTTATTCAGATTGTCTGTGCCAGCAAGGTGTGGGCTTGATACTGTTGCTGTCAGGTGGTCAGGAGGCAGAACCCTCGTGTGTCTGGATGTGGGAAGTGGAACCTGTCGACGTCAGCTGGGACTTGAAATGAGGTGGAAGAGATAGGGAGGTTGTTTTTGAGATCAGGAGGTGTGGATAAAGCTCTCTTGGCATCCTGGGCAAATCTGAGCCGGGAGACCTGGGAGAACAAAATGAGTTACAGCTTCTGAGGGCGAGTTAGGTGCCTCGGCAAACCCGAGCGGATCTCGGATGTGCGAGGAGCCAGGCGTGTGGGGGGATGTGGGGAAGGTGGGCTGGAAGGCAGGCCGTGCGCACGTGCTGCGTGAGCGGGCGGGAGGCTGGCGGCAGCTCCCTGCTCTGGGTGGAGGCCTCGGCTCTGAGGGTGGCCGTGGGGGAGGCTGAGGATGCGAGCGCTTGGCTGGAGGTCGCAGGAGGGCGAGAGGGTTGTGGAGGTGGCTCAATGCACCAGTATGCTCCAACCTGTCATAGCCAAGGGGGCGAGCAGAGGAGGAGGGCTGGGTGCACTGAGGCTTTGGCAGAGGAGGAATTGGAGTTCTGGGGCTGGCGCTGAGTCAGGATGTGCTGGAGGAAAGCGCTGTGTCCTCTGCCTGTCTCACAGCTCTCCTCTCACCCAGCTCAGCACTCTGACTGGGCTCACCACGCAGTTACATGTCTCTTAGTGCCAGCCTGAGGAATGTGGTGGCCAGGGCCTGAGAGAGAGCAGGACTGTGTGTTTTGACAGTAGCAGAGACTTAGTTTGGGTTAAACTGATTGTGAAACCATTGCCTGTATGTACCTCTGCTTCCTTCTGGATCCTCAGGATCAGGCTGTGTTTGTCTCCTGGCTAGCTGAGTGAGGAATACCCCACGGAGCTCTGTCTGGCTCTGCTTAATAGTAGGTGGAAGTTGGAAAGGTTCTCCGTAATGGCCGTGAGGGGAGGACCAACAGTCCCAGCCCATTTCTAGCTGGGTCAGCAGCAGCGAGGCAGATTGCCTAGTGCTTGTCTTCTCACCAGGCTGCGACCCGTGATTTTCCTCTGATCGATAAAATTCCTTGTCCTGTCCCTGATTAGGGGGTTCGTCTCCTCTTGTCCCCCAACTCCGTGGCCTGGCATCATTTGAGCCCTCAATATCAGAAGGATATTGACCCCTTGGAGCGAGTCCAGAGGAGGCCACGAAGATGATCAGAGGGCTGGAGCACCTCTCCTATGATGAAAGGCTGCAAGAATTGGGCTTGTTCAGGCTGGAGAAGAGGAGGCTCCAGGGAGCCCTTATTGCAGCCTTCCAGTACCTGAAGGGGCTACAAGGGTGCTGGGAGAGGACTGTTTACAAGAGCCTGTAGTGACAGGACAAGGGGTAATGGGTACAAATTGAAATCAGGGAGGTTTGGATTAGATATCAGGAAGAAATTCTTCACAGAGAGGGTGGGGAGGCACTGGGACAGGTTGCCCAGAGAAGCTGTGGATGCCCCATCCCTGGAAGTGTCCAAGGCCAGGCTGGATGAGGCTTGGAGCAACCTGGTCTAGTGGAAGGTGTCCCTGCCCATGGCAGGGGGGTTGGAACTAGATGGGCTTTAAGGTCCCTTCCAACCCAAACCATTCTGTGATTCTATCAGCCAGTGCAAGTTTCTCCGTGGTCTATGGGAGCTGCTGTATCCTTGGGGCTCGTTTACCCCAGGCCATCCCCGGGAGGTGCAGGACCATTTCGGCAGTGTCTGCCGGAGGCTGGGCACAGGGTTCTGCGGGGCCTCGCAGAGCGCCGCGTGAGCCTGCCCGGTCGGTCTCACCGCTGCACAGAAGTACTGCGGAGTCCTTGCTTTTTTGTCATGCTGCTTGTCCTCTGCTGGCGTGGGGAGAAAGGATGAAGCAGAAGGCAATGAAGGTGATAGCAGCAGCGAAAAGCTGAAGCCAGGGGTGCAAACAGGGACTGTTCACTGTCAACTTGTTTGTGGCTTAAGCTCCTGGCTGGCATGGAAAACGGCTTCCCACTGGCAACTGAGCCGTTTGGGACCGTGACACGATGGGGTATCGCTGTGCAAGAGATCTTTACCCTGCTTAGTCTTTTGCCTCCCCTAGATGCTGCCGCTATCCTGCAAGAGGAGCAAACCAAGAAACCTTGTCGGAAGTTTCTTCAAACAGGTGAGTTCTTTAGGGGTAGAAGTAACTGCCTGAGCCCCAGCAGCTCCTTCCTGAGCAGCCCCAGGCTGTTCTGGAGAGCCCTGGCATGTGTGTTTGTCCTGGAGGGAGCGAAGGGCTTGGGCCAGCGTGTCCAGCATCCAGATCTGGGGTTTGCGTGCAAGGGCGGCTCTCACGGAGCTCCGTGGCTTTTGTTCCAGGGCAGTGTGATTTTGGGTCCAACTGCAGATTTTCCCACATGACAGAGCAGGACCTGGAGAAGCTGAGTGCCCAGGTGCAAGGTGAGTCTTCAAACAAGAGAAAGTCTGGGGGTCTCTGGGGGAGTTGCTGCGGGGAGTTTGGGCTGCAAAGGGGCACGGGAGGGGTGGCGCAGCCTGCGCTCCCGTGCTGCCGGTGTGCAGCCGAGCGTGGATCCCTCCCACCTGCCGCTCAGCGCTGTGTGTGCAGGTAGCGTGGCTGGAAGTGCTGCAGTTTTCCATACGCTTTCTGCTCTTGATCTGCTGGCACAGACACACGCCAAGAGCCCAGCAACGCTGTCCCTACCTAGCAGCAAGCATCTGAAGCAGAGTGGGCTTTCTGAGCCCTCGGGGTTTTGTTCGGTCAGGGAATAAAAACTGTCAGCAGCAGAGGGCACTGGTACATCGCTTCCCCTTAAATTTATGGATTTGATTTCCCCCCACCTCTCTTACCCGGGAGCTGCTGCTTCCACTCTTGGGAAGAGCTTGCCTGCTGTCAGTTGGGCTGTCCTGAGGAGAGGGCATAGGGCCTGGGATCCAGAAATGGCCGGTGCTCACGTGGCTTTGGGTAGAACTGAAGTTTGGGCAGAGGATGAGTGGCAGCTGCTCCCTTGCTGTGAGTCCCCAGAGCACTTTGGAACGGTTTGGTTCTGCGAGTACCACCTCCTTGCCCTAAAAGGGCACCCCAAAGGGGTGGCAGTTCTGTTTTCTTTACAGGGTTCGTTGCTTGGTGGTTAGAGAAAACGTGAGTGAGGTGTTGGTGACAACTAGGGGATGGCTGAGGTCTCCATGGGGATCATCTGGTCCCACCCCTACCCTGCTGGAGGCTGGGTCAGCTAGAGCAGGCTGCTTGGGACCGCGTCCGCTGTGTTTTAGTATCCCCAGGGCTGGAGCCTCCACCGCCTCTGTGGGCAATGTGTTCCAGTCTTCCTTTGCAATAAAAATGTATTTTTTTAATATTTAAGCAGAAATCCCTGTATTTTGGGTTGTGCCCGTTGTCACTTGCCTTTGCTGGGCTCCTTCCAGTACGTCTGTGTGTGACTGGGGAGCCCAGGACTGGACTCGGCGCCGGGAGGCAGCCTCCCCAGCGCAGAGCCGAGAGGAAGGACCGCTTCCTCGACCGGCTGGCGGTGCTCCTCTTCGGAGCAGATCCTGTGCCCACACTGCATGCGGAAGCCAACTGTTGTTTTGCCAGTCGTCTGGCGAAACCAGCCTTGAGCGTTGAAAGTGTGTGTGTACGTGCACGCGCACGTAGGAGATCTGAGGGGTGCGTGGCGTGGAGATGCTCTCCTGGCCTTCCGAGGGATCAGATTTGGGAAGGCAGGGCTCTGGGGAACCTGGAGGTAGGCAGGCACTACGGAGCTGTTCCAGTCGCTGGCGTTGCTGAGTCAGTCTGCGAGTCCCCGCGGCGACTCTGTGAATCAATCGCCGAGGAACGCTGGCGGTCAATAAAACCCGTCACGTCGGGCTGCGCGGGAGACCGTGCGCTCCGGCCAGCCCTTCTTGGGGCGGCAGGCGCGCTCCTCTTCCCCGCTGCTAGCC